ATTATTGGCATCTACTTCCTACTCCGAAAGCCATACTCATTTTTAAGTCTCCATGAATAGATGAAATAGCTCCCTGGTTGGCAGGGAAGAGATGCTGAAAAAAAAGAGGAATCTACACACTGCTGATGCTGTCCCTGGCAGAGGTGGGCTCCCTGCACAGCAGCTGCCCACGGCTCCCAGCTGACACATGCACAGAGGGAGCCCCACAGCCACTCCTGACCATGCTGTGGCACCATGCAGATTCCTCCTTCCAGCCAACAGGAGAGGTGGGGCCATGAAGAGGGAAGCTAGGGGAGGAAAGGGAGATGGACGGGGGATGAGAAGGGGAGCCAGGCAGGAAAGGAGGAACCTGCATGCCCCTGATGCTGTCCCCAGCCAAGCTCAGCTCCCAGCACAGCTGCTTCCTGTAGCAGGGGGCAGGAGAAGCTCTGGGGCTCCCTCCATGCCCGCATCAGCAGGGGACAGCAGCAGCATGGCATAGGTCCCTCCTTCCAGCTCCTGCTCCCAGTCAGTGGGAGATATAAGGGACAGGGGAAAGTGGGAATGGGAGCCCAGATCAGCTGAAGACAGCAATGGGGTGGGGGGGGAGGGAGGGGAAGGGCACAGTAACTGGCAGGACAGGGGCGCAAGGGATGAGAGTCAGGCCACCTGGTCCCCATGCTGCTTGCCACCTCCCCACCCCACTATCCCCACTGCCTGGCCCTCCCCCCTCCACACTGTTGCTTTACCATTGCAGTGCAAGGGGGGCATAATTTAAGATGACCCTCCAATAATTAGATTCTAGACATAGAAAATTATAGCAAATTTATAATTTTCCATGTCTAGAATCTAACTGGTGGGGGGAGGTGTTCATCTTAAATTTAATGTGGTCTTGGATTCAGGTAAATAAAGTAAGATGCAGGAATGAAAGCAGTTCTTTCATGTGTTCCAGAGTTTGGGTGAATGTCCAGATATTTGAAGATTACTGACTTTCCACACAAGCCAGGCTGGGATCAGGACTTTGCTATACCCCATTTCTTACATGGCAGTCATTAGTGCTTCCCTCTGCAACACTGGGAGAGGCTGAAGCTGACACTAAAGTGCCACCAAGCACCTTCAGTTTCTCACATGCTACCTCTTATGTGCAGAAGCGGCTCACTTTAAAAATGCACACGTTCACATAAATCTCATTCAAAACTTACCCTAAGCATCACCTTGGCTACAGTCCCTTGAAGCCACGTGAAAATACCAGACAGCTGGTATACTGCTGCTTACAGCTGTTGTCCCACTAGTTTCTTGGGCTGCCCATCTCCACCTGTTGCCTCTTGTTTTAAGCTTTGATTGCAAACCCTTTGGAAGACGGGAATCTCCTTTTTAGGTCTGTGGTGTCAATGACAGTATGATGCTTGACTTTCAGCTGTGTCTCCAGACAACTGTAATACCAAACCAGGCCTCTTTGTAGCCTGAAGCATGCACAACTGCACTCAGGCTTGACCTCCACACAAATGGTCAGAAATTTTGCAAATAAAAAACCCTTTGATTCTGGAGAGCAAAGATGTAAGATTCATGCTTGCCGTGAACAAGCACATGTTTTAAGTTGTAATATAGCACTTAACGTGCAAGGAAGAGGAATGAGAAGCAAATCAGTCAGCAACAGGTACACCCTTTACAATTACTACACCAAGTTACACCTTCAGTTACAGCTAAGTGGAGAGAATTTCACCCCACATACTAACCTGCATTCAGACTGAGAATTCAACATATATAGTTAATTCACACTTCTGCTTTTAAACATGATGCTAACAGAAATTAGCTGAAAACAGGTGATATTTCAGGAAGTGAAATTAACAGAACCAAGTCCACTGAACCGCATTACATTCTACAGACCCTATTTCATATGTAATTTCAAGCAGCTGCACATAAGCCACTATATTGCAAAGCTGTTTTGACTGGAAAAGCATGCAGATTTCTGTCTCCTGCCCACGACCTGAAGAAGGGTACTTTGTCTCAGAAAGCCTGTCAAACTTCTCCACCAGCTATACAGTTAGTCTAATAAAAGATGTCACAAAAAATCCCCTTGCCTTTCATATAATTCTTGGACCATCACAGCTACAAACAAGACTCTAACGCTACTACATCGAGTAAAAGCAATTTAAATATGCAAGTTGTGACAAACAGCACAGTGGTCAATTAACACAAAGGACAGGAGTTGGCAAAAAAATAAAGTTAACAACTGATTACTACTGACCTGCTGCCTGGCCCTCATCTCTTACTATATGCCTTGAAATCATCCAGTAAAGTACCACATAGGTTCCACGGTCCAAAATCTTTATCACGTGGTAGCTATATAACAGTCTTGCATTTAACAAAATAAGATATAGTACATAGGAGCAAAATGAATCTTCAGAGTTGTTTTATAGGCAAAAGAAAAAATCGTATCCACTTTCTGCAGCAACAGAACCCTGTAAGGTCAACATTACTCTCGACAAATCCAGCTGCTGTGTAGCATTTGCATTTGGTCTGGCACAGTACACTCCAGTACTGCCGAGCTAAAATTGGATTATTTTATTGTCTAAGTACATAGGCCTCTCTCCCCTAAAGGATCTTGGCTTTCAGTTCAATCTATGCCTGAGGGTTCAGACTTCATGATTTGAACTTTACACAGCAACAAGTCTGACAGGAAGAACTACCAGACAAACTAAGTTACTGCTCTGCTTCTCTGGATAAAGGCAGGGTATCATTTTAAAGGAAGCTTTTAAACCTCTATTTCAGAAAGGAGAACAGCCTGCTTGTTAACACAAAGCAAAACATAGTACAGTAGTTTGGGCTGCATAAAAACAACCCATTTAATATCATTTCAAACCATGCTATTTTGCTGAAACACATCCACAAGCTCCAGCACACAGAACCAATGGAAAATCCTCAAATACCATCTTTGGGCAAACAAACAAGTTACAGCTGCTTCATTTGCAAGCCAGCTCTTCCACTTTAAGTGAAAACTAAGTTGCAGTAACTTAATCCCCTTCACTAAGAACTATTACACAAGGCTCCCCAGAAACATTAGGACAGTATACCTGGCCTTTCCTTCCAAGAGTTTTATGTCTGATTTATACTTACCAATATCCCATTAGTCAAACTACCTATCCCATTTTTTGCCCTCCACTTATCCATCACTCTTGCATAGGCCAGAAAAAATATGGTTTTCTTCTGCCTTTTCATCCTTGACGCTGAGTTTGCAGCATGGCATCCTACCCTTCTACAAGGGTAAGGGAAGAAAACTGGAGCTCACCTGCTGCTACAAGCTGTTGCACATGCCAGGCTTTGTAAGGACAATGCCTGGACTCTTACTTCTTGGACTGTGTAGTAGAAATCTCTACTGTATACCAAGCTTTTCAGCTGAGATGCATGCATCTGCATAGTTATAATTTAACTACATGAGTTAAACTGAGGAATAAATTTTCATGTCTTTATTTGCAAAATAAAGTTTATTGCATGTACAGAAAAGAGTGGAAATCTTAAGATTTTCTACAGATTTTTGTGGGCCCTATGGCCAAATTTCATCAAAATTTAACTAGAAACATACTACAGAATGAAAGATGCACACATTCTCTATACTTTGAGCAAGGTAAGTCAGGTATATTTACTCATTAACTTAAGTAAGTTGATGTAATTTCAGGTACAGTGAGCAAAGACCACATTGCAATGGATCCCACACACAAAGGCATGGGATCCTCCCATTTAGACAACTCAGCTGGACTAAGTCAGCAAAAACGGCACAGGGGCAAAGACAAAAATACCCATTATGCCCATCAGAACAGGACTAATGGGAATTGGATGTCACTGCCCCACACTGGCAAAGAGAAGTAAATCCTGGTAACAAGCCAGTTGCTGACTGTCAGCTATTCCGTTAAGAGCATACAGTTACTAAGATTAGGAAAGGACAGTATAGCATATTATTCCATTCAGAAGGAAACTGAATGGCTTAAATTCCGTTAGTCCTTTCGTATTCAACTTGCTGCAGACACTCTTAATCTGATTACTGTAGTTGCAGCTGAAGTATCTACAGCTATTGTACAAATCAGTCTCTGTAACACACGAGCAGACGTTAAAGACAACAATGAATCCCTTTTCCAAGTGTTTAGCTCAATAAGCAAACCAAAATTATAAAAGAACTGATACATGGCTTAGCGCACTTTTTAACATCAGATGTTTTATTAGCACAATTTTAGGCTAAGTGCCATTAAGTTCACTCTCACAACCTGATATTCTAAAATCTGAATTTAGAAAGTAAATTGTACTACTTTGTGAGCAGTAAAACAGCCACAGATAATTATTTTTAAACACACATTTTTAAAAATCCTTTTCAACCCAAACAATTATGCATTGCAATAGTATTTTTAAACCCAGTCTTGTTTTTTATTTTGAAGCTTGCTGACTGAATGTTTTTGGTTTGTAAAACTTTTTTTGCAGTTTAGATGTCTCAGAAAATGTTTTCTAAATAAAAAAAAATAGTAGTAATACTCACATGTAGATACTAGTTTCCTTCCTAGATCCAAGTACTTTTAAGCATCATCATTATTTAACAGATAGCAATACCATCGCAGAGGTTAAATCCAAGGTTACAGAACAAGCAGAACTGGGAACAGGTCCCAGGTTCTCTGACCCCCACCATCATTGAGATCAGCCTTACAGCTGCCCCATATATATTTCATCCCTGTGCACCTTGACAGAGGTTCCATAAAAATTGGTGATGAAAGCCAAAAAGATATTACCTCTTACTGCAGCTATTAATGCTGCCCAAGACTGAAGAGCCTCTCTGTATGCAAAGCCAAAGCGATTCCAATGGCTGGTGTCAGTGTCTATAAGCCTTATCTGCTATACATCTCATCTTAAAAATCAGAGCACAACCTGACCCAACCATATGGTGTTAACAATGGAAAGCTGACTGTGCTGTTGCTGAAAGGCCTTAATAATGGCCATTACCATCTGTGTGCATCAAATGCAATCACCAAAAGACAACTGTTCTGAACGTAGATATCTCAAGATTATTCTCAATGTGTCTATTATGAAAACTGACATAATTAAATGCAGTCAACCTGTGAGCTGCAATGAAAAAGAGCAGCTACAGATCAATAAATTTATCCTGGATCTTTTAAATACAGCAGTTACAGAAACCTAGATTCTCCTGAAGGTTATGGAACACTTCAATCCAGTCCAATCTAATCACAATATATGCGAATTTCAGTGTTCAGGCTCACATTCCTGACATGTTAGATAAAAATTTAACCATGCTCCAATTTGAATAAGCTTACCAGACTTCATAAACTCATATAAACATATTACATTGAAAGTGCACTCGTTTCACCACCTGCTTTTCCAAGCCCTAAACACGAATTCTCCTTTTGCTGTGGGAGCAATAGCTGGTACATACCCACAGACTTATAAAGAGCTGTCCTGACCAGAGACCGCCGGACACAGCTCTACTTCCTCCTCCTCTCCGGCTTCTAGAAAGCAAGGGCATGTCTAAAGAGCTTCAGATCTTTGAAGAACAGAAGCTGGAGGTTATGTTTTGAAAGCAGCCTTCCCACACCCCAGGGAAACAGAAGCTGGTGAGTCAGGACAAAACAAGCCAGAATATTTGCTTTTAGCCAAATTGAGTTTTCAGCATGACCTCTGGGTGTCAGCCATCTAATATTAGACATTCCTGCAGACCAATTTTGGGAGCTTGACACAGATGGCTCTTTCTGAGCAACAGACATCCGCTGAACAGTTATGCTAGTTTAAAAGGATGCATGGACAACAATATTACCCAAATTCACAACTTCAGAGGAAGCAGGAAGGACAGTCCCTGAAACAGTCCTTTGCACAAAGATAGGTAGCTTTAAACAAGGACTTCAGGTGTACAGGAGTAAACCACCTAAGCCATTGCTGGACACATTTCTGCAGTTTCCTGCAGAGGGAGCTACACAGGAACAGATGCTGATTGCCAGCAATTCTTCTGCATCCAGAGCTTCAACAGCTGCACCCAAAAGCTGCATGGAAACCAGAAACAACTCTAGATGAATCCCCACACGCCTTGCTCTGTCAGGCAAAATTTCAGGGTGCAAGAGCACTGTCTCCCAAAATGGAGGTACCAAAAGGAACAGACATACTTTCGCTGCACTTCAACTTGGCGACCACCCATTCATTGCATCTCTTCCTTGCAGTCTATACTGATGACTTTACTATTTGGGACACAGAGACTAGTCTTCTTATGTATTTCCACTGCTAGACACAAAATTGAGGTTCAGTCACCGTATTTGTCCCCTACTCTTTCCACTGTCTGCCAGCTGTGGCAATTCTTCATGGACCCTGACCCAGGGACAATGGGCCAAGTGCACAATGCAAATCAAACCACCCCATACCTGATGGTCAAGCCAGTTGCAGCAATAGAAGCAGAGTTTCCCTCTGCTTCAGAAAGAACCCGGTGGCTAGCCAGGGCACTGGAACAAAAACAGTCCTCAGACAACCTTCCTGGACTGGCAAACAGAGCCTAGGAGGAGCTAAAAGAAAGCAGGCTGCAAGCCAATGCTGTCTTGATCCAGATTTGTTCCTTTCTTGACTGAAAGGAAAAGGGGAGTGAGGCTTATTGTTTGCAATGGCCAGATTTGAATTCCGGAATTAAGAAATCAAGTGCTAATCTAATTTAACACTGGGAATGGTTTTTGTTTTTTTAAATAAATTGGTTTCTGAAGCAGAACCACACATAGTATTCATGAAAGTGTGCATAAAGCTCCAGAAGAGGGAAAGGCATAAAACACAATGCTTAAATCAGTCCTCTTTCTTTCCCCTGGATACTAGGAACAAAAAGAGTCCAAGCCAGACTGAGAACGCATATTGCACAAAACAGACTCAAGCTAAATGAGAAGTACTTACAAGTCTAAAGTAATTATAACAAGCTAACGGGAGATATGAAGGCAAATAAAATTCTCAGTGCAGCTTTAATGTTCCTCTGGCAACAATTAGTCAGCACACAGTCAGAACAAAAGGAAAAGATTGGAAGTGGCTCTGAATGCCCGATGTCAAGAAGAGGTATTCAAGACTTCCCCACCAGGCAATACTTCCCTGAACATGCCCAAAATAAGGGCACCTTGCTTGGTGGTTAGAGACACAAGAACTCATGTTCCAGGTGGAACTACACAGAAGGAACCTTTACAATGCACTGTGCTTACAGGCTAAAAAAGCAAAAACAGTATTGCTGTTCAGGGACTATTCTACAAAGACCTACAGTAATGTTGCAAATGGTAGAGTTTTCAATTGTTACACTAGAATTTAGCAAAATTATTAATGACCTGTGCCAGGAAACACTGGCATTTTACTGGCTCAAAGGAAAGAGCTACCTGATGAATCAATATTCCAGCATGGTACAGGGAAACCAGTACAGGGATGGAGTTATTGTATTAAACATGGTCTTGACCCAAAGCCCCAAACACTTGCTAGCATTGAGTGATGTGGCTGTTCTCTCAAAAGTAAGAGTTAGGAATGCAACCAAAATTCTGGATCTAAATTTAAACACACAATTCATTTTACCACAGATGTTCTTCACTTCCTGCTCTGAATGGCACCATTCTGGAGGGGAGGCAGGGCGCAAAGTTAGAAATTTAATATGAACATTTCTACAGAATTTTACTCTGACAGATTTTTATCAGACAAGTCAGAGGCCTGTAACCAGAACTGGATGGGGTTCACACATAAATTAACAAGACTCTAAGTGCAGAGGAAGAAAGCATTTCTCAAGACACTGAATTCATTGATGCAGCATTGCCACTGAGCCTTGGTGGAAGGACTTGGTTATACAAGCATGTAATTAGTTCTGCTCAGCATCATCCATGGAACCAACTCTATGGGTTAGTTAGTGCTAGTAAGTATAGAATAAACAGGGTTAGACTGTTAAAACTATCCACCAAGGCTGTCTGACTTCCTACAGAAGGGTTACAGTTATCACTAGCTTGTTTAGTGCAAATCTGTTTTTCAGTTTCAGTTCAGCTGTTCAACATTCAAAACAAGCTCTGCCTTAAATTACATATTTTTAATTAAAGAACATATCCCAAATTCACATCCTTCCTGAACTGAATGAGAATTTGAAGCAGTTTCAACTGCCACAAGTGGGAAGCACAGCTATTGTAAATCAAAATAAAAAGAATACATTTAACTTTTGTTTCTGTGACACACAGGAGGCGTTTTGTTTTTGCACACACTTTAGTACTCACAAAGTGTCTCTCCACATCATCTCTGAAAAGCAGAATTCTCTCCTCTGCTGTTCATGCACCTGCAGTGAAACAAAAAAGAATTGGAGCAGAAAGTCACAGACAGATGTCCAGAAATAGTGCTCAGTCTCCCAGATCCCACAAGGCAAGAAGTATGTCCTAATCATTCATACTCAATCTGACTTTTCCATCTTCCATCAAGTTGCCACAGTGAAACTTTAGAAATAATGTGCAAAGGAAGTGGAAAGTGGTTTCTGAATAGCAAGTAACAGCTACACAACTGCTTTCACTGCTGTGGATAGGGATTAATTATGAAGATTAAACAAGTGATCGAGCAGACCATATGCCCTAGATTTTTCACCATAAACTCATAGTTTAACCCCACTGCTCCTGACCCGGTTTATCCCAGGAACAGTTTACTAAAATGGAAGTTGTGACTTAGGATAGCAATCCTTTATCTTCAGAGCAGAGGGAAAAGAGCTCTATCTGTAACAGCATGATCACATTAGGCGCAACTGAAAACAAAAGGAATGAGTTTTTATGAGCAATTTTTACCATATAGACTACTCATCATTCACTAAATACATAAAATAAAATTCATAGCAACATTAAGCCACCTCTCATGTCTCTAATCTGTAAGCTTAATAATTAGTTATGATGAAGATTGATCCTAATTTTCCAAGTTCATCAACTCACATTTAGTGAGCCCTCAAGCAAAAAATGTGAAGCAGTTTTACTAAGTAAAGTGCATAATTTCAATTTAAAATCATCGGGCAACGTTCTACTTCACACAAGAGGAACTACTGCAAAGTATAACACATAGTTCAACAAGACTAAACTACACAGAAACCAACCTAACTATACCATAATCCTGATATCAGACCTATACAACAAATTAAAAATCGGAAATTTCCACAACTCATTAGGCATTCAACCAGTTTGCAAATAAAGTGTCCTATACAAATAACACCATGCAAAATGGGGCCTTTTCCTCCAAAGGAAACATCGTGATCAATGCTAATTCAGCATCTTAAATGGGAATGTCAAACTAGACTAGACACGTATATTAGAAAGAGCTCACATGCAAAAATGGAAACTACAAGCATTATTTCACTAAGTTCTTTACAACACCTACAGCATACTATTACCAAAATGGTATCACACAAAGATTCCTTTAATAGCATCTAAGTTGCCAGCTCTTACTTCTGTTGCATCTGTTAGAAGAACAAAGTGGTTTTCTGCTTCTTCTGTTGTTGCTGCACCTCAGGGCATGCTATTCCTTCAAATGAACTTCAGATTCCCCTGTATCAAAAAGAAGTCGCCCACTGAACAAACATCACTCCTAGTATCAAACCTCCTCAACAAGACAAAATTATTCACTTACTTTCTAAAAGGGCAAGATACTTCTCTAAATGATATTCCTACACTTACAGCTTTAAAACAGGACATGGACAGGAAAGGTCAATCTAATTATAAAGAAAACCATAGCTGAGTTGCCCCATTCATTCCAATATGTTCCAGCAGTCATTCCAGTAGTCGCTTGAGGCTTATGAAGAGATGCCTGGGGACAGACATACAGCTACGAGCAAGAAAATGCCCATTTCCAGCTGTGAAGCCCACACAGCTGGCTCAGCTCCCCCAAAAAGGCATCCAAGACAAGAGGGGAAGCAGGAGATAGACCCTCAAAATGAAATGCAACTATGGAACACAGCTGGAAATAAATGGACACCGAGCAAATCTAAAAATCTGAGGTGAAGAAAATCCTTATGGCTGAAGAAGAGTATTTGTGCCCGAAAGCTTGCAAAGAACAATTTTTCCAAGTATTTAGCTGGTCTAATAAAAAAGACACGACATTTACCCAAATATCCTTGTCTGAGATGAAGCAAGGAATTCTATATGCACGGTATACTAGGGAGAGTTACTGGACAAAAAAACTAGATGGAAAAATCAGACTGGGCTGCTGCTAGTGACTGGAAGGACTGGGTGTGAAACCAGGCAAAGCACTTGCTGTCATGGATATAAGGACCTTAGCACAGAGCCTTTACAGCACAGAGCAACCTTGCTGCTAACCCTTGCTTAGCGGAACCTTAATAGTCAAACAACAAGAAAAGTTTAAACAAGACAATTTTTCAGCTTCAGACAGATTTTAAAGTCTCCAAAGTTAATGACAGAGCCACTATTAAATCCTCTGTAATCAAGGACTCTATGTCTTGCATAGTTTTCTCCCCAGCAAACTACTGTGAGAATGTCAAGCGTGCGCTCACAGCTGCTTATTATGCCCACAAGAATGAAGACCAGTCTGGGCACCAGCATAGTTTCAGATCTCTCTTCCAGGCAAATCAGAAAAACTGGATAGCTCATTCTTCAGACTCCTCAAGTCGCTTGTCTTTCTTGGTTTTTCACAGTGGGCCGCTGCTAAAAATGTTCTTTACATAAGCAAAAGTCCTACATCCCACCTGCCGTCCTATAACTTGTACGTACGCATGTGCACATACGTGCACACCCCCGAGCAAGTACTTAACCTTGTAAAAAGTGAATAGACAAATTTTTTCATGCATAAACAACTATTTATTCTAATGAAATTCAGCATGAAATGACTATTAATTTAAAAACGATGGGTTTAAGGCCAGCAGGACATTGCCTAACATTTTACAGGCAAGTTGTGATACTTTGTAATTCTTCAGTTGTCTGTGCCAGCTTTCCATGAACTTTTCTACTTAAGTTAAGAAGATATTTGTACAAAGTATACACTTTAACAATGGCATGGCAGAGACCCAGCAAAACTTAGCATTATTCTTAGACACTTGTTTCATCCTCCTCCAGCTTCATAACACTGAGCAGCAAAAAACAAAAAAAAAATATTTTCAGAAGCTGACAGAAGATGTAGCTTAATGAGGCTTGGTATTTCATTTTTAGGTACACTAGGAGTCTTTAGACATCCGGGCATTCAATGACTACCTGAAACGTGTGAAGTATTACAGCAACATACAAATGTTGGGCTGTGTAAGAGACCATTAAAGCACGTCAGTCCATACATGACTTGCATGTAAACACAACAGCCCTTTCAACTTACAGGGACTGGAAACCCAGTGGACAGGTTTTCTTGGTGTGTGTGTGTGTGTGTGTGTGTGTGTGTGCGTGCGCGCGCATGTGTGTGTGTGTGCGCGCGTGTGTAGAATTTAAGCTTTCATTTAATGCTATTCATAGATTATAAGGCCAGAGGGAACCACTACAGGGTTTAGTCTACCCTGCATGCAGCGGACCATTGGACTGCACTGAATTAATTCCTGTGCAAACTAGAGCAGATCTTGTAGGAAAATATCCCACCTTGATTAAGAAACTTCAGTGATGGGGTGGGGGGCTGGAAATGGCCCCACAACTCTTAGTAAAGCGTTTCAAAGGTTAATCACCCTCATTGTTAATGTACTGGTTTATTTCTAGTCTAAGTTTACTTAGCTTCCAGACACTGTACCTTGTTATATCCTTGCCTGCTAGACTGAAAAAACCCTCCATTATCAAGCCTCTATTACCAATGGAGGTGCCTTACACTGATGAAATCAGTCCTTAATCTTCTCTTTATTAAGCTAAATAGATTCAGTCCCTTAGTCTCATTATAAGGCATGCTGTCCAAGCCTTTAATCATCTGAGGCTTTTCTCTGAACCTGCTACAAGTTTTCAAGCTCCTTCTTGAAGTGCAGATGCCACAACCAAAGTGTTCCCCTACCAAGCACCGCCAGAACCAGATACAAAGGAATATAACACTGTAGTGCCACTCAATAACTTTATGGTGCTATTCAATATTCTCTTATAAATAAATCCAAGGACCTTGGCCATAATGCCACCATCATCCACCATGGCAACTCCAAGCCTTTCTACGTCCCTGCTTCCAAGAACAGTCCTCTGCCATGAACATGCATTCGGGGCCTGACAGCAGCTCTGCTATTCTGAACATAAACTGCATCAGCCCAGCCTCCCAAGTTTGCAGAGGACATCAGTGCTTCTAGCTTTCCACCACCTCTCTGGGTAACCTGTTCCAGTCCTTCAATAACTACCCTCCTAGTGAGAAAATTCTGCCTAATATCCAACCTCAACGTCCCTTGTTGCAGCTTGAGCCCATTGCTCCTTGTCCTGTCATCTGCCCCCACTGAAAACAGCCCAGCTCCATCCGCTTTGCAACCCCCTAGAGGGAGGTGAAGGCTGCTATCAAATCCCCCCTCAGACTAAATCAGCCCAGTTCCCTCAGCCTCTCCTCATATGTACTACACGGGACATCTAGCAATGTACACTGAATTGTTAACATGCTTACAATACTGTTACCTTTTCTATACTGTATGAAACTCGAGGGCTTTTTTTAACCTTCTGCATGCTTTAATTAGCCTCAGGGTCGTCCGTCCCCACTCTGTCCCCACCACCCATCTTCCACTGAAGCCCTGGATGCCAGCTGTGATATGCTAGAGCTACTAACATTGCTGAGAAATCTCTCTGGGGCCTGGTTTGTACACCTTGCTCATGTAAACAGGGGGTTAAAACCAACTGTCAGATTTGACACTGGGAAGAGAATCTCCCCTCTTCCCCACCCCCCCACAATTAAAAGGGCAAATACAATTGGGAGCTTGCCTTCCTCTGCAACAGAGATTATAGCCCGTTACTTAGGATCATCTTGGCACTTACTCAATGAGTTCCCTGCCATGACAGGGCCAAGGTCATCTTGTGTCTCCGGCTCTCTTCTTCTAACACAACATACGGGTTCTCATGGTACTAAAGACACTTAACTTTGCATAGGATGTTTTGTGGCTGTGAAGTGCAGGGCTGGGGATGGAGATGGATGTTCCTGTGGACCTTTTTGGTTGCCTGTGATCATAGGGGAGTGGGCTTAATAACCCAGAGGTCCCTGGTATCTAAGCATTCCCAAGAAGTGGCATAGATGGAGAAAGTCATGCTTTGAGCAGGGAGCTGAACTAAATGACCTCCTGAGGTCCCTTCCAGCCCTAATTTTCTATGATTCTAACTGCCAATTGGGCTAATACACTGAGAGTCTGGACTTCTGTCTATGTG